GCTCTGGCCCTTCCTGTAGAGGGCTTGAGTGTTCTTGGCCCAGTCCAGTTTATTGTCAATGTGTACTCCCAGGTACTTCTAGTCCTTTGCAGTGTCTACACTAACCCCCTTGATGGAAACGGGTCAGTGGTAACTTGGCCTTCCTCAGATCCACACCCAGCTCCTTTTTTACGTTGCGTTGCAGATTGTTCTGCTCTCACCATGTGACAAAGTTGCCCACCACCGCCCTGTACTCAGTATCATCACCCTTTGCTGATACACCCCAACACAACAGAGTCATCAGAAAACATCTGTAGATGGCAGGGATTTGTGTGGTAGTTGAAGTCTGAAGTGAAGAGGGTGAAGAGGAAGGCAGAGAGGACAGTTCCCTTTGGGGACCCAGTGTTGCTGTCCGACACAGAGTAGACGCACATACTGTGGCCTGCCAGTCAGGTAGTTGACAATCCAGGACACAAGGGGAGCATCCACCTCCATCGCTGTCAGCTTCTCACCCAGCAGAACTGGCTGGATGGTGTTGAAAGCACTGGAGATCATGACCCTCACCAGACATGCGATTTAGCGGGAAAATTATGGCATAAATTAAAAAAGAGGCAGTACTTAGGATGGGTCAGTTCTGAAAGAGGCAACTATATCATTCGCATATAGAGGTATCTTATCTATCCTTAGGTAACCGGTGAAGAAATAATGTAAGAGAACGTCCGTATTTGCTTGGATAATCGTTGGCAACAGTGCAGGGGGCTTGATGATCAAAGATGTTTTGCATAATTCATATTCCAGTGAAAGGAAACATCAAGTCTGCCCCAACAGTAGTCTTGCTTCATCCACTCACTTCCGTGTGATCCTCTTACTTTTTTTTTTTTTTTCAAACACGCATCTCAGAAAGCATCCCAAGATACACCTAATGTTTAATGCTTTTTATCATCACAACAGGTCCTTTTATTCACAAAGTCAGACAGTTTCTTTTGTTCTCTGTCTTATTATTTTCAGGGTTTTGGCAGATTTGTTACATCTGCCTCGCTGTGAGGTGATATGCAGCTTATTCTGGTTCAGCCACTCTGACCAAGCTTAGCGCTCAGCCTTCCAAGACTGCTGTCATCAGCACAACCTCTGGTGCTACATCAGCGCCGTAATCGATGTGCCACCATGTCCTCTCTGAGAATTCTCCCACTCTGTAATAAAACTCTCGGTTTCTTTCTCTCACCCCATCCCTCTCCTTCCCCGCCTCTTTGAATTTTGTCTGTATGTGTTTTATAATTAGCTAATTATTTGATTGTGTGCACCAGCTAAGGGTAAATATTATCAGTGCACACAGAGGCAGAGTGCAGAAGACACTGTGTGGATTATCCTACATGTCTATTTGTCTACCACAAATGATTTTCCTTCTGTCTCCCAGCAATCCATGATCTCAAGCAGAATATTATTACATTAGAAATGCTTATCTCAACCAGTATCTGATATGAATATCAAATTTTATCAAATTTCATACAAGAGCAAATTAACATTTTAGAGTGTGTAAAGTTTTGCTATTTGGTTAAGAAGTAAGTGTGAAGTAAAACTCTGACAGACTCTTCAGGAAGATATGGTAATATCTCCAAATCACTTTTAAGACGACCTTCAGGAATACAAATCATATCCTTGAATGTTTCCCCTCCCAGTGCATTTGGACAAAATGAAGCTCCACACCCGATTGGAGCAGCATAAGATGTGCCAAAGGCAGTGAGAGCTGCCGTCTTAGTAGTTCACTCTGTTCACTGATATCGCTGCCACAGGACACATGGAGAAGGCACCTGCTAATGAGAACAGACTCCCCCGTTGCACATATAATTATAAATATAATACTCAAATATTCAGTGTGATGGTTTGAAGACACACATTTAACTACATAATGACCATGTTGGTCTAAATATACAATATTACAGACAGATGACTGAATGCAACATTTACTTAAAGGTTTTGATAGAATATGACTGAAATGTCTATTTTGAGTTCTGTGTATAACTGTGTATGTAGGAAAAGCCTGTGTTTGACAAACAAGTAAACAAAAGATACTCAAATGAAGCTGAGTCCATTAATATTCTGTGGTTTTAATGCTTCTGGTTCAAGCCAGAAGGAGTATTCCTCGTGGAGCTCTTGCATAATTATTGAGAGATTTAAATGTAAAGAGAAACATGTTTTTCCTCTGAGAGTAAAAACATAACAGAGTCATTTCATGTTGTCAGATTTTTTGGGTGTGTTGATGTGTTTGTTTGTTGGTTTGTGTTTTTCTCTTTTTTTCTTTCTTATACCGCTATGATTAAATCCGTCCTGCATTGACATAGTGTGACAAAAGCTTTCAGACATTTGCCCTCCCTGCCATCTGCTCATCTATTGACTGCACATGTCACCACATACAGTCGGTAACTTTGAAATGGTGTCTACTCAGAGCGACGCAACAATCTGAATCTCAGTTTTCTGTACATCCTGCGGAATGTTGCTTTTAAATGAAGCAGGATGTGCTGTCGTCGTATACAATCGAATGATGGCATTGGCTTAATCAGCCATATGGCATGTTAGAGAGAAGACATGTTGAGAGAGGAGTGTTAATGATGAGACCTACATAATGGATGTATCCCTTCTGAACTGGTGTTTTTACACCTTGCCTATTACAACACCCAGACATAATTTTCATGCTTTTAGTGTTTCAAACATGCATGCACTTGAGCATCTCCAACCAAAATGGAATATACTTTTATTGCCGATTTCTTCCCCTTATCCTCATTCTACCTTCTTTTTTTCAATGTCTCCCGAGGAACAAAGCTCATTACAAAACACTTCGCACCCTTCCCTCTCTTCCTCCTTCCTGTCTTCATCAGACATCCCGGGGGTGATTTCTTCACTTACATACAAACAGCCTGCAGACTCAGCTATCCCCCACTTCTCTCTTCACTACCTTTCTCTTTTCTCTCTGCCCTCCAGTGAACATCCATCATAATTTGATAATTGCATTCCTATTATTAATGCTGTACTACTCTTGCCAGCTATAATATGAACATTGTTACTCTTTGATTGCATTTAGCCACCGGTCACATTAACATCATTTAATGTAGAATGTTTTGATTCAGCAGTTGTTTGTAAAAGATGCCAAAGAGGAACATAGAGGACTGTCACTGCCTGTTATGTCTCCAGTGTCAATTTGTCACATGGGAAAATTAATGAGGGTGAGCATGGGGGCAGGCAAGATGCAAATGACCATCCATTTATATGAGTCACTCAAATAAAGGGTACAAGATAGTGGGCTATGCATAGGTGATTTCAGAAATTGCTGCTACCCAGTCCAGACTAAATATAAAACACCTTAAGTGGCTCTGTGTGGGAAAAAAACAGAAGGGGTTCTACAAAAGCGTCTTAATTTCAGGCATACTTACGTTGCCCTTTCTTACAGTTTCCCTTTGTTGTCTTTGATTTTAGATTGAACAGACCTCAATCTCCCTGAAGAACCATCAAAGACAGCATTGTTAACTCACAGTAAATGGAAAATAAGTGGCAAGCTGAAATGAAAAATATTTCATGAGATGACATTTTGTCCTTGGAATAATCAACTGAAGGGCTATCATTACACAGACCCTGAAGAGGAGCAACACGCAGGGAAGAAACCTTTGTAATTCCATAGATGGCCTCAGCACCCTGCAAGTGTCTTTGAGCTCAGCAACAGAATCGGTCCGACATGAGCATCCCAACTGGTTTACAGGGACTGAGGGTCAATATTGACAGAGGGGAAAAGATTGGAAGCAAAACCCAGATCCAGTTCCCCCAATCTGGGGATGACAATGCCAATCGATTATCTTCGATTGCTGATCAAGAAGGAAGAAGACTGATAGAGGACGCAGGGTACAACACAAGCTCCATCCCTCCTTTGGTCTCTCAGAGTGAATCTCCGGACAAGTTAGTGATCTGGGGATCTGAGCAGCAATGCATGGAGCCTGAGCTCAGAGATTTCGAGCTTTTGGAGTGTCAGGAGATACATGCATTCTTGGGAAACAGGGATCAGGAGGAGAATGAGGAAGAAGACGATGGAGGAAGTATCAGAGATGGAAAAGACGAGGGTGCCATGTCTATATCTTCAAGCTCAACTGCCAGCTCTTCTTCGACTGGAGTGAAGAGAAATGACAACGACAGCAACAAAGTGGAGAGCAGAATACAGAGGAGCAAAGAGGTGCAGAAAAGGATTGCCTGTCATAGTACTGAAGAGCTAGACACATGTGTGACAGGCTCAATAGAAAAAAGGGACAACAGGTCAGGCAGAGCAGGGGATAGGGAGAGACAGAAGGGAGGTCTGAAAGAGTCCAAGTCAGAGACAAATGTGTTTGTCTCCAGTCTGTCAGCTGTTTCCCTCAGTGGGAGCCTGTCGAGCGCTCTCAATAGTAGCGAAGAAGCGCAGTCTTTCATCTCTCTCAACTCCAAGACCAACCCTTATCCTAATACAAGCAACACTACCTCAGCCCAGGCCAGAAGAAGGGCAGCCCCTGTAGATGCCAACCAGAACTCCCCACCATCGCATCCTCAGGAGAAACATGGCTGTCCTCAGTACTACAGCCAGGATCAGAGACAGGAGGAGGGAAGTCAACATAGAAATGGATTGTCTTCTGATGGGGGGCTGGGCCAAAGGAGGAGGACTGGATTTGAGGAGAGGGTGATGCCACCACGACGGCAACAGCTCGTCAGGCCCCTCTGTCAGGCAGAGATGGGAAGAGCAAGGAGCTTAGAGCCCAGTGGTCATCAAGCTGAGACAGAGCAACCTTGTTCCACCAACCTCTCTCCAGATTCACAGAGTAATGGGTCAAACAGAAAGTTTACAAAATCGTCTTTACGTGAGCCATCGGATTTCTCCAACCTGTACACATTCACACAGCTCAGACAGCCCAACCAGGCAGCACAGAGGGAGGCTCCACCTGTAGAAAAACAGCCAGCTACAGCTGCGTGGCGAAATTCAAGTCCTTCCAATCCTTCCAATTTAGAGAAGAGGCCCCAGACTCAGCTCACATACAGAAGGAATTGCTCCAGTCCTAACCGGACGGGAGTTGATTCCAGGTCATCTACCCCTCCCCATTCCCCTCTCAGGACACCCCAGGGTTCACCACGCAGGCAGCCCTCCATGTACCTCGTTTCCAGGAATGTCTCTGGAGTGGTTAGACACATCCCATCAGGATGCAACCCTGCTGTAACAACCTCTGCTCAGGGCTATGGCAACAGTTGCATGAGAGCGCCATTCAAAACCAATATAAGCACAAGTGGAATCCCCAAAGCGCCTCTTAACAACCAGCAGAGCTCTAACCACAACTCCAGCCCCAAAGAGAGCTCCCCATCACCTAAACTTAAACCTAAAGGAGTGCGTCCCAAAATCATCACCTATGTCCGAAAAAATCCTCAGTTTAAGCCCCAGGCTGCTGATGGACCTTATCAGGTATCTTCTCTACCATCCCGGCTCTCAGCATACGGACACAGCCAAGCACCCACTTCCTTCAAAGACACCCCTAAAGACCCCTCCAAGCCTAGCGCAGAAACCAGAGGACCCCCAGTACTCAGTGCCTCCAATCTGCTTTATGACAAGTACCGCCAAGAGATGCAGACAAACATCTTCCCATCAGGAATGCTGAGCAGGAGTATCAGGCCCCCTGGACACACACACACTGTCCCCCCTGCGCACACACATGCCGCACCACATGCACACACACACAGCCACACAGCACCCCCCAAACTGGGCGGCAAAGCAGATAACTTCTACGGTGCGCCATCAGAGGTGAGTATTAGGTGCAGTCTTTAGTATTTGATTTCATGGTTGTTATTATAAATCTGTCTTAGAAGAATGAAGCTTGACTAAACTAAGAATAGTTTGATATTGTGCTCATTAGCATTCAACAAAATATTTTCTATCATGCTGAGATTGAGCACAATCCACTATCACAGCACATTCACACAAACAGTGAAGAAAGGACAGAAATGTAATGTAATTATAATGAACAGAATCTCTTTATGATATATAATGTTATACACATTAAGTACAAAGACAGACCTCCTCTGTTACATTTGTTGACTCTACAAATTAGTTTTGCTAGCTGATGTCCATAATTCCTATCCCACAGTAAACCATGTATAATTGATCACAGCTCCTCTGCATTTTATTCCCACTCTCACAAGAGATGCTCATTATCACTTTAAAATCATTCCTTATTGATTCTGATTAAATTGCTTCATTTGGCATTCATATTCATACAGCATCAAACACCAGCATGTGGAAATAAATAGTTAATGCATTTTGAAGTACAAAGCCCACAGGGAAAAGATGATTCTCAATGCTTTGTATGTCACTGCATGTACGTTAGCATTTTGTCCAGCACACAGAGTAATGCCGTTGAGAGAACACTTGCTCTTGAATTATGCTGGTGATGTTAAACAGCTCAAATATAGTTCTCAGTTTACCTACAGGTCTGTGTTACGTTGTCCTGTGAGTTTTTACACACAGCATAAATCAGATATGTGGACACAGTGCAGCCATGCCACCAAGATAGAAGATAGCATAGGTGGTAGAGATTCTTGTTATCTATTGCACATGATCAGCCATATCATATTCTAATTATTTGTTTTGTTGATACAAATGAGAGAATCCTATATGGATATGATGACAGATAATTAGATTACAGGTTGCATGAAATGTTTTACTGCCCAGCCTGTCCACGATATCACAGGCAATATATACAATATTAAACATGCCGTGGCAGCCAGACCTTGCTGGTAAACACATTAACATGCAAGTAAACGCCAGCAGAAAATTCCAATAGGTGCTCATGGACATTACATGACAAACACTATTTACATCTGTGAAAGCTTAGCAGTGTTTTTACAGCCATAGCAAACACACCTTTAAGGACAACTGATGTGGTCTCTGTGGTGTAGTGTGATTTCAAATTATGCATGCTTCAGGACTCCAGAAATGTTATCAGACAATTACCTGATAGTATTTATAAGTTAATTTCATTATTTTGATCTTTTAGGTGGGAAGATCTGCCAGTTTTAAAGGGAGTACTGCTGAGGAAGCGATGCAGGTCCGGACAGCCGCTCAGGCCGGAGGGAGTGGCAGTCTGCTGCGCTCTGGTAGAGGTCTGCGTCTGGGCCTTGGAGCTGTCACCCGAACGACTACGGGATCAGCTAAGGGCAGAGGACCCAGTCAAGGTCAGAGGTCAACACTGGTCTTCAGCCAGCCAGTCCAACCTGTCAGTCCAGCGACCTGTCAGAATAGCCAAGATGCAGGTAAATAAAACATTTCCTCACACGTTTTTCGAGCAGGTTTACATTTCCTCACAGAAATCCACCAGAGTGGCAGATGGAGATGGCCTCTTTTGAGCTACAGTGTATGTCAGATTTCATTTCAGCAACCCAAAATTTGACACACTAGAGAGCTACCTTATCTTTCTTCTATTCTGCAGCAACAAGCAGTGGTGGGACTGTTTCCTCCTCAAATTGGCATGAGATGAAGGCAGCTTATTAAAATGCATTCGCTGAGATTAATTTGGACTGATCTCATTGGAGGGCTTTAAGAAATACTCTGAGGGGACTTTTCTGCTCCAGAAGGCTGCCATGTACAAAACAAAATAAATAAATAAAAGCTTGCTCACGCTTGCTCTCCACACACAGTGAATTTCTAATTCAGATGATTCAGATACCACCTCTGACTGCTGAAGTCACATTTACATTACAGCTCGACCGTCGCTGGAATATCGAAGTATGAAATTTGCTCATCGCCCTGCACACTGCTGAAAGGCTACGCCATTTATCACTTCCATGCATATTTGATCTGCTCTCTCCCTGAGTGCGATAGAGACATACATGTGCATGTGTTCACTCACAGATACACAAGCATAACCTAAAACTGCACATACAGAATTGATCAGCGTAGTGTTATGAGGTGCCAGGTTTCCTTATCATAATCGCTATTAATACATATGTATGGTGTCTCAGTGCTGCTTGGCCCTCTGGGAACTGCAGACTTTGAAGTGCAAAGCAATTAACGCTTAAGTAACGTCAGTATCTTCCTGCTGGTAGCATCTCTCATCCCTGCTGTGCCCTACACACACTGCATGCATAAACACCAGCTAACATATATGTAGCATTGGTCAGTTTTGTGTGTATCAGTTTATGTCCTTGTGTATATGAGCTATGTAATAAGGGATTTCTGTTTTCTTTTCATTTGTTGTTTTTATTGTCCCGGAGAAGTCTGATCCGTAACCCTTAACAACGTGCCAATGATTATTCTTCATCACTGTAAATGACAACTTTTCAGGCTTTTGTGAAGAGAGATCACACACACATATTATAGTAATTGCACTGTATAGCTCTCTATAAGAGTCAAAGTACTGCTCACATCTACTCATATAATTACTGTGTAGATTTTGAACTCTGCATTGTTATGATAATGAGGATCATCCACGTTTGTGTTGAAGCTGCTGTAACTTCTGCATATTGAGGCTCTCACCCTCCCTTCCTCACAGCCATGAAGCCTTTCTCGAGCACTTATGCAGAATGCACTCAAATATCACATTTAATAACATGCAATTTAACGCCTTGGGGAAAAAATCCATGCAGGTTGTCGCAGCTCACCTTGGGTTGTAATTAAAATCGGTTGGTTGTTATAGTGCTCATCCCAGCCGCCTGTGCTATTGACTTTTCTGAGCCCAGTTCACATAATTCATCTCAAGTTAGGATGCTGTCCTTCAGCGAAAGCCAATGGATGTTTTGAAGATGTTTCCATTTCTCAGGGATAAGAAATTGCAGGTGGTGTTTCAGACCTACGGGCAAAGTAAAGTGGTTTTATTCAAATTTTTGGAATGGCTGAAGGGAGAAAACTGCAAGCCCAGGAAAACACCCAGGGTTTTATGATTCATGATGCATTTTCAAATTCACCCTTCAATGAATTTTAGTCCTATTTTTTAGTACTTTATCAAGTAAAGTGTATTTTTCAGGTGCAGAAACAAAAAAGTGACAAATGTAAGTGAAACAAAAAGAGAGAAAAAAAAAGTTATTTTGGGGCTAAAAAAATACAGAAAGAGAGAAGGGCAGTCAAAGTCATATCTCCTTCCTATCCCCTTTTAGATTCTTATGAATAATGTGTGTTTTCATTTAGAAGGAGCATAGGTCTGTGGTATCTAGGCTAAGGTGGATGCTTGTCAGGCTCTCTTCTCTCCCTCGTTTCTCAGAGGGGATGAATGGAGTGGAGGGGCAGGAGAGAAATTAGGTCATTTATCTTTAATGATCCTGACCTTCTCACTCACAAGGAGTGAGCTCCAATCTAATAAACACACCGCATGGCACACGGGCAGATATTGAGGAAGGAGGATAAGTTATAAGTGTGAGCAGCGGCACTGATGATGCTGGAGGGGGCTTACACTGGAGACTTTTCTCCCTCCTTCTGTCCCACTTTGTTTTTCCCTACCAACAGTGCTTGTATTCTGCCTCTTAGAGTTTTCTCTTGAATTGATGTGGCGGTTACCCTGTAGCATGCACTGTAGCACACAGCTGTGCCAAATGGAGAGGAAAGAAGGGCTGCCCACCTTATCTCTGCAGCCAGCAGGGGATAATGCTCTTCTTCTGCCCAGGATCTAAACCTTGTGCTGCAGGCTGGGGTAGCCAAGATGGGTCTTCTATCCAAGGCATGGGGATTTACCCACTGCCCACTGTGTGTATGTGTGTGTGCAGCCTTGGTTGTTCATGCTTGCACATTTCATCTGTTTTGCTGTTGGAAACCATAGATTACCGAGATGGAGGATTTCCCCCCATTGCTCGCTGACAATAGCTGCCATTATGGAGCTATGATTACTTTTTTATCCTCCCTGTCTCTCTTTGATTCCCTGTCTTTTCTTTCTATTCCTCTGTAAAGAGGTTTTCTTTCCTCTTTATTTTCTTCTTTCTTTTAATCTTTTTAGCCTTCTGGACTTAGCGTTAAGTCCAGAAACCTGGATGGGCCTTTGTGCACTTTGGTTAACTACAGTGAGAATCACTGTAATACCTTTAATAACGAGGAATTCCTGAACATGTAATGGACTCTAAACACAGGCAAACACAGTGTATGTGTTGGAAATGTATGTCATCTATGTCCTAAATTGTGGGTGTCACATTAAATGTTGTAACAGTGTTGGCATGAAAGGATTTGCTGGCGTCTAGCCCAGCCTGTAAGCACGGCCAGAGCCAAAAGCAGCTGTTAGCAGGTTGCTGTGTATATAGCTCTTATATTTGCTTGCTCTAGCTGTCGTCATAACACAGAAAACTTCCTGGTGCCCACTGAGACCTTAATCAACACAGGATGATGAATGATTCGCAGGGGAAATAAAACATCATGGCTATGCTGCATTAATGAGTTTACAGTAGTTACTCAAACACACACTTCCTATTCTTGTGGCGCTGTCCGTTCAGCACCACATGCTGCAGCATAAGCTGAAATGCAGGGAATGATGAGTTTGTTCAACATTGTCCTCATAGTGTCTGGCTGCTGCCTATATTATCTGTCTGGTTCTGCTAAGGACACGATTTACCCCCTATGAACAGCTTTCTGATTTAAAAATATTGTCTGATAATAAATAAAAAACAACTTAACAAGATTCTTTATTTTGTGCTTTACTAACAGACGACCAGGTCTTCACCCATCATGCTCCTGCTCCTTCTCCAGCGACAGCAGCAGCCCAGCCCCAGGCCGCGGCCTCCAGATCTCTGCTTCCCAAAGCAAGTCAGTCAGGCCTGCGCCCCCCAGGCTTCAGCTCCAGTCGTCTCCCTGCGGGCCGCCTGGCAGCCTTTGGCTTTGTCAGGAGCTCCAGTGTGTCCTCCGTTTCCTCGGCCCACTCTGCCGACAGCACACAGAGTGACCCCTGCAGAACAGCTCACCGTGAGTCCACTCAATACAATCTGTTTACGCTGCCATTTGTGAGATTTGATTCTTACAGATTTTCCAGCATGAGCTGAATGTTATCATCTGTCTTTTGTTTGTGTACTGATGTCTATTTGTTAATCCCAATGGTACACTTAAAAACACCTAGTTAACACTACATCAAGAGTACACTATTACCACCACTATACTGTCTTTATTGCTGTATTTCTCTCATGAATATAGTTTGCATAAACAGCCCCCGCCCACATTCATTATGTTGCAGTTTGCTTTCTCTTCCTGATCTCCACCCTGCTTTCAATTTATTCCTCACTAGGTATTTTCATACACAAGCTCCAAGTCAATAACAACATAGAGCACATTTTCTATACACAATATATGGGATTTCTGGAAATAGACACAGCCAGTACAATTATCCAATAGTGAATAATTGGGTATTATGATTAGAGTAAAGCTTTGATTCATTCACTTTGTGTTCAGTCATTTGTTTATCCATGGGTCACACATGATTGACCCAAAAGGGGGCACTATTAGTTCATTCAAATTATTCAAATTAAGACTAGAGGTCAGCATTGTGACATTGTTACTAATAGCTAATTTGCTCTATTCGATTCATGAGTAAAGGGTGATGACATAGTGCTAAGTTGGTGAGAAGGCAGGATGACTTTTTGAAATTTAGAAAAGTAGAAAATTGAATGTGAATTTCCAAAATTTACTGCAACACTGGTAATGCATTGATTCATATGCTGAACAAGACATGAGACTTCCCCATTTGACAGCTCGGCTTGTTTTTTTCTTGAATGTATGTAAAAATAACCGAACATCAGTAATTTTACAGGCTCGTACCTAACTAGGTCTGTGCTGCATATTCAGTCAGCATTAAAAGAGATAACAGTATAGAGTGGATGCCTTTAATTTTCACAGTCATGGCGAACTGGAGGTGTGCTTACAGTTGTGATTTCAATGCTGCTTGGCAGGCTGGTCGGTTAGTTGGCTGAATTTGTGGTAGCTGCATGTGTTTTTAATGTGACCTACATAGCAATGCTTGTTCTTCCTCTCCCAGTTACAGTTGACGTAAGCACCTCCAGTCTCACGCACGTCAGGCCCCCTGTTATGTCATCACTCCTTTCCCCCATCCCTCCCTTTTGTATTTATACTTTTTCATCCCTCTTTTTTTTCTCCCATTGGTTGAAAGTGAATACAAACTGTGTGGTAATGTGGGGGTAGGTATCTTTTTAGCTGTGAAACAGGGAAGAGATGACTCCTTGGGTGTTTATTTAAAAGAAAGTGGCATAAATGTGGAGGTTTTCATTTTTCATCTAATATCTATATTCATTAAGGCCTAAACGTTGATTTAATAACTCTTTTTTATCAAGGGTTTCTCCGTGTTTGGGTAAAACATTGTAAGAAAGGCCATATCATCCATTAGCTGGCAAATTCAATATTAATCAATGAGTAGTGCTCTAATTGCATTGTGAATATTGACCAAGTGTGTTGGCATGTGTGTGTGTGCAATAGAGCACAATTAAGTAATTTGGAGAAAAATGCCAAATATGGGATATTTGTTGGTTTTCTTTGTGTTCCATTATATTAAAGATGTATGATATGATATTGGGGTTTTGGACTGAGGATCAGAGAATGTTAAAACTTGAACTGGAGCTTTGGGAAATCGTGATGGCCAATTTTACTCTTTTGTGACCAAACAATTAATCAACTGATTAAGAAAATGATCAGGAGATTAGTACATAATAAAAATAATTGTTAGTTGCAGCCTTAGTGTGTAACTATAGCAAGATGCAACACTCTTTTTCAGTTTTTCTACATTAACTGAATCAGCTGTACATGGTGACACAAATGTCTACTACTCTGGATAATCTGTAGAAAAAAATTCGGTCCAAATTTTAAGCTCTTACCTCAAACTAAATTTCAATACATCTTGCCACCAACTGCCACTTGCAGCTGTATATTTTGATTTTTCAGTTTCTATTTTGGTTTGTCGTCAGAGACAAATGCAACATAATACACAGTATTTTCAGTAGCTTCATTTGTACAGTGCTTTTCCAAATAAATTACCATGCTAATATCAATATCCGGAATAAATGAAATAAGATTCAAGCAAGAGAAAGGTCTCTGCTGCACCATTCTGGCCAAAGAACACATTCTCAGCAATGCACATCAAACTTAATGTGACTCTTGTGCATCCAAGATAAATATACAAAATATAACAGTGCCCTATTGTTTGTTAGTATCTTATATATTTAAGCAGCTGCGGATATTAATTTGCAGATTCACTCCAGTCATGTAGCACCTGTAGTACAAACCTCTATAGGCATTTTGACCCCTTTATATTACACCTGTAAACACACACGCAAATTCACGAAGCACAGGAATACCTGCCAGCAGAACACAAAGACTAGAAGTTTTAAAAGTAGTGCCTGCAGCAGAATGTTCCTCTTCCTGCTGCTGCTCAGAGCACGGTGAGACCAAAATGAAAGCAAGGATGATAGACATGAGAGGCAAAAGATTAAGGGCCTTTGATGTTCATTCCTGTGTGTGTGTTTGTGTGTGTATGTGTGTGAGACAGTGGGAGTAGAGAGAGAACGAACATTTACTTCCAGTTTTGACTCTGTGTGATGCTTTGACCTTTAGCTGCGAGGCATTTGAACTCTTGGCTCTATTTGAACCTTCGAGACTAAAGTGAGCTTGACTGTAGATACTGCTCTCTCTCTCTTTCTCTCTCCCAGTGTGTGAGCATTTGTTGAGTTTCAACCAGAGGGTTGCCTGTTGTCCTTTTGTCAAGCTTTTCTTTGTTAAAATTGGGAAAACTGGTTTCTTTTTTGTCCTGTCTTTTCTGGACCTGGATCCATTCATCATAAATTTGACTGTTCCCTGCAGAACCCAGTCAGAGCTTTAACCTCAAACCTTGAAGTTTGGATGCTAAGGGATTCTTTTTTTTTTGTCCTGGAGGCAATTTATAAAAGCTGACAAAATAGGCGTGACATTTCGTTCAAAGTTAAGCCCTTCCCTGATCTGAATTTTAGATATTGTCAATATTTCAAAAGTAATTGTATTTTAAAGTCCTTATGTAGCCTCAGGCAGAATGTAAAACTGGAGTATGTTTCTGAGTGACTGCACAAACCCATTTGTAGACAGATGTTGATGTGATTTGCAGCAGGATGGTGAAATCCCGATGGGGACAGACAAGTTAAGTTGGGTTAAGTCGTGCGAGTTGGTAAACAATCTTCAGTTTCTAATTTCCAAAGGCTCTGTTTAACCTACAATTATATGCATGAACACAGGTGAGTGTGTGTCAGTACGGGAAGTGTGCATGTGGTGTTTCTTCATGAAACCTGATTTTCCTCTACCACCCTGGGATCTCTCCCCCCTCTCACCGCACTCAAACTGAGATCAAAGAACAGAGAGATTGACAGATGAAGTCTCGCACACCCTTCAATCGAAGTTGTTGGGGGAGCTGCAAAAAACCAAGTACCTCCTTCTGTAACCGAGAGAAGGAAGTCCAAGCTCAATTGCTTGTTTTCCTCATTGATCAGCAAGCAAAGCGGACTTCATTAGGGCTCTGGATGATACGGACTGGAGAAATCATTAAGGAATAGAGCGATGGGGAGGAAAGGATTGCTGCGCTTCAGTAAAGTGGGTTAGAGGAAGTATCCCTGGAGTTTAAACTCCCCGCTGTTGTAGCTCGTTGATCAATGTGCTCATGTGCAATTGTGTGTCTGTAGAGAAGAGAATGGAGAGGAAAAGGAATCATTTTGCACAGACAATGTTAGGTCACTTATTCCTTGTAGGCCATGCACTTAGTCATGGTTTTATTTTAGAAATTTTTCAGAAATCATCCCCTGAGTATCCTTCTGATCGTGATGGCATTAAAGGTCCAATGTGTACGATTTAGTGGCGTCTAGCGGTGTAATTGCAGATCGCAGCTCACTTCATCCTCCCCTTCCAAGCACAAAGGAGAAGCTACGATGGCCACAAATAATATAAACGCTCCTGTCTACAGGCAGTGTTTGGTTTGTCCGTTCATACCAATTCCTATACTCAGTTGTTTGTACACTATGCCTATAAATATTATATTCCATTTCAGCCTGTAGATCCTCCTTAATGTTACACACAGGACCTTTAAATGTAATTTTGTTTGTGGTGCACACAGCATTGAAAAATTACATTTTAAAAATTCAACAGCGTCATTTTTTCCCAGATACAATGCCCCCTCACTGAACACATTGTTTTATCAATAGTTTTCTATGGTAGAAAGAAGTTCTAATAAAAACTGTTGCCATCTTCTTCCATTCCATTCGAAGTTTATATCTAAATTAAAACTGGTGAAGTAAGACCTAAACTATAACGTAGATACCACTAGAGGTAATATACCTTTTTGTATTTTGGGTGTACCAACCTTTTCATATAATTGCAGTATTTTATTGTGAAGTAATATATACTGTGGATTATTTGAAGTGAAACAAATTACAAATACAGGAACCCTAACATGGAAACACACAATTACTCACAAACCTTCACACTAAGGTAGCTCAATGTCACCTTGGGTAGGTGACACTGAGCTAAACTCATATGGCCTTGATTGATTCTAATCTGTTTGCATATAAGAATGCATGCAAGTGTGTGTTTGCATATAAGTATGCATGCAATGTGTGTATGTGTGTTTGTCTAGCATCTCTGGGACTATAGGTTACTCTATATGACATTGATTAGCCATTAACCCAGTCCTCCCTTTAGCTGACATCCCCTAAGGTGTTTCAGGGATGTGTGTATGTGCATCCGTGCATACAAAAACACCGAGCACATATTACGTTAATTCCACTGTGATTGACAGACTCCATTACAACTCAATCGCCAAAACAAAGTTTGTCTTATTGGAGTATAATTATCTCCATTCGTCTTCTGAACGAAAGGAAAAACTGAGCAGACAGCTGATGGGAGGCATGGAGCTGAAGGGAGATGCACCAATAAAAGCAAAATTCAAT